TCGCACTGTCCTTTGTTCCTGCCCTGACAGGTTTGTCATAACCAAAAGTGAAACAGCTGCAAAAGCAAGTAGGGTACCTTCCTGGGGACTTCCATCAGGGGCTAGAAATAATCCCCCTTGTATGTGGATTTCCAGGCTCAAGAGTACCTCCTATTAATTTGGCACAAGGATCTAATCTTTGAAATCAAGACTCCCCCACTTACAAAATAAGCCTTCCCATAAGCAAGTGGTTTCTTGGTCATAGTCTTCTCATTCAATGTCACAGCAAGCCAACTTCATATACATTTATGACACAATTTAATTTACAGATTAGTGGGTCCCCCAACCCCCAATATATAGATGAAGGCAGCAAGCCCTGGAATGTTTAAGTGACTTGCCAAGTTCAGATCTTTCAGCCGTATCTTTCTGGAACAAGTGAATCTCGGAGCAAAGGACAAGCCCAAGACCAGGCAGAAGCAGCTGGCTGGCAGGCCATGCCCAGCTTTCTATCCGTATTATTTCTTGGCAGAAAATGCCTCTTTGCTATCAGGACAGTCAAGTGTAGTTAGAACAAGTTCATGGAACAAAGCGGTTTAATTAAAGGGAAAAAAAATTAGCTGGGTGACAGTGCTGTTCTCTTCGATCCAGGATGGAAATTAATTTATAACAATCTTCTCTTTTATTCATGGGTGCTGCCTATTTCAGAGTATGTCGGCATCCATATAGTTTTTAGTTTGAACGTGAAATAATTGTGTCTCTAATGGGCTGCAAGTCAGTTCAAGCGTTGAGAGGACATAGCTGAGTCCCGGCTAACCATTTAGGGAAGTCTGAAGCCATCGGGGAGTAGCTTTGGTTTCCTTCTGATGAGTCATGATATTTAAAATTCAGAGGGCTGCTGCAGGATTCAAAGCTGTGCTTTCAGATCGATCACTCCACAGCCTAACTCTGTTAGTGGCAGAGGACAAAGCGAGCCCATTCATTTTCCTCTAATGACCTCCTTCTCTTTGCTTAGACCAACCTGACAGAGCTGAAGTCATTTGGGTCTCCACCTCCGGCTGTCAGCAATGTCACTGCTGCCGTGATGGTGCTTATGGCCCCCGGTGGCAAAGTGCCCAAGGACCGGAGCTGGAAGGCTGCTAAGGTCACTATGGCCAGAGTGGATGGCTTCCTGGACTCCCTCATCAACTTTGACAAAGAGAACATTCACGAGAACTGCCTCAAAGCCATTCGGCCATATCTGCAAGACCCTGAGTTCAATCCGGAGTTTGTGGCCACCAAGTCCTATGCAGCTGCAGGCCTCTGCTCTTGGGTCATAAACATCGTAAGGTTCTACGAGGTCTTCTGCGATGTGGAACCCAAGCGCCAGGCATTGAACAAAGCCACCTCGGACCTCACCGCTGCCCAGGAGAAGTTGGCAGCCATCAAAGACAAGATCGCTGTGAGTGAACCCAGAGCCTCTAATACAAATACCCCCTTGCCACCGGCTGTTGCCTTATGTTGGGATTTGTAGAGAGACACCAGAAAGCCAAATTTTTATGCAAAATCTCATTTTTCAGTGGAGGCAACTTTTTACATGTCATTCTCCAACACAGTTTAGACTAAACAAGACAAATCCCCTAGATCATTGGTTTACAGCTCCAGTCCTGAAAGGTTTTCTCCTTTTCCTACGAGGAAAGAAAAGATGACAGGTAGATACATGCAATAGACTCACAGTATTATCCGTGGAGCTGACTGTTCTCTTATTGGCCATGAAAGAATTTAACATTTTTGTGCATTTGATAGTTAAGATCAAAGGTTTTAAATTTCAAGATTCTTTCTTCTTTCTCTCTGAAGTGTAGGTTTTAGCCATCTGACTTTATCTTTTGTGTCTATTATCTTCAGTCTGGCCAACCGTCTGCCAGTCTCACACTCTGTAGTGTGGACATATGGGCCTGCTTTAGACTGTATGCATTGTTTTATCAAAGCTTTTAAAAGCAAGTCATGTACCATGGTTTAAGGAGCAGTCCCCTGTCTTTAAAAATAAAACTGTAAGGGGTCACTAACTTTTATAAGCCCCATGTAGATATTATTATTATGTCTGCATCAAGGATCAGGGTATAGTGATGGGGGTCTTGGGTTCACACCTATTTGAGAGAGAGATTTTCCCCTGACCGCCACCTTTCCCATTAAAATGAATAGTAGCAAAGTGAGAGGTAGAAACCAGAATCGTGGAGGATACCATAGAAGCTAGAATTCCATCCAATGCAAGCTGCAATATTTACTAGTTGTACGACCTATGGAAAGGTCATTAAAATGCCCAAACTTCAGTTTCTCAAAATAAAATAGACACGATAGTACTTGCCTCTATGTCTAGAGGCTCTAGTTCAAAGATCCTTGAAACCAATTTCTCTACTTAAAAA